GCCCCTGTCTGGCAGTGCAGAGCCCAGTGTGGGGCTTGAACCCATGAACTGTGAGATCATAACCTGAGCCGAAATCAAGTCAGCACTTAACCAACTGAACCACCCACGCACCCCTAGTTATACGTTTTTTTTTTTTGAGTTTTATTAAAATTTAGTTAGCTTCAGGATTCTAAGTCCAGAGTGAATGTTTCTCCTGAATAAGCCAGTGTCTTGGCTCATCGTAAAGTTGAGTACCGAGAGATGGAAACTTCAGTTCTGCTACCTAGGCTCTGCTTAACAGCTGCTTTGCAGGCAAGACCATGACCATGGCATGGCCTTCTATGGGACACTGGGACACCACATGTTTAAATGGAGATAACACTGTCTCTGCCTGAAAGTAGAAAGCTGGGCTTTTCCTTTTCTGTTAAAAAAATAAAAACATCCATTTAAAAAATATGTATTCAGGGGCACCTGCGTGGCTCAATCAGTTAAGCGTCCAACTCTGGTTTTGGCTTAGGTCATTATCTCGTGGTTTCATGACTTAGAGCATTACGCCGGGCTTTGTGCTGACAGCACGGAGCCTGCTTAGGATTCTCTCTCACTCTCTCTCTGCCCCTCCCCCACTCATGCTAGGTCTCTCTCAAGATAAATAACTTAAAAATTTTTTTAAATTAATAAAATAAATCGTATGGATTCCTTAATGGAAATTTAATTTAAAATATAGCCATGAAAATTTCATACCATGAAAAGACATCTATTCATAACACCTGTGTTTAGTGACCTGGACACTGAAGAATCATTTGTGGTTTCCACTGTCCAGACGGTTAGTTCGCATTGCTGGGTGGCGAGCACCAGGTTGGGGGTTGGGGTGCAGGGATGGGTGAGTTGAGCCCGGCGTCTCCCAGCATGCGTAACTCATGGGCCCCAGAGCACCAGGACTGCCTTAGGGTTACTGAGGGCTCTTTTCTGCACATGCACAACATCTGCAGCCAACAGAAATTTTCTGTTTCCAAAATCTCAAAGATGCCTCGTCGTCCTCAGACCGAAGATCCTGATAGGTTTTCCTGCCCCTTGCTAGCCCGTGAGAGATGCAAGACTCTCAGGCCCCGCCCAGACCTGACCCTCAGTCCACACCCTGGTGAAGTCTCCATTTAGGAGCACACTCAGCCCTGAGAAACACTGACCTTGGGCTCTTGAGGAGACTGTAATTGTTCAACACCTAGTTCGGCTGGAGAAAATGTTTATATCGATACCACAAAACAACTGCTGGCAAACTGATTAGAGTCCCCTGTGTCATTTTCTTCTGTGAAATTCAAGTATTTGTCAGAGGAGAGCAAATAAACGCACCTCCCTTAGATCTCCTTTTGGTCAGAATAAACAGCACCTGAATGAAAGATTTTCGGATAGGATTTTCCCTATTGACCACGTGTCCCCATTCGGGCCATTTTGAAGAGTCACCACCCTCCTTTTCGGTGCAGTCAGTAATAAATACTCAACTCTTTGATAGTGGAGCTGATGGGAAAAAGACTGTAGGCCTTCTCTTCTTTTGAACCTCAGCACTCAGGTGAGTGGGGGGTTGCATTTTAAAGCTAGAGAGCAAAACCAGGATGTCAGACCTTAAACAGCTTGAAAGGAAAGGTAAGAGGGCCAGGGGCTCTGTGTGTCCTTCTTTCCCTGGGATCAGGACAGATGGTTCCTTGGGGTCTCTTTTATGAAGTATAGAATTGTTCTGGACCATTGTTTTTTTTGTCCTGAAAGTGGCTTACCAGAAGGGTCATGAGTTCATACGCCTATTTTCTGTTATACTGGAAACTATGGCTTATGTTCAAAGAAATGAGTCATGCGGTACAGTTCGGATATTCAATGAAAGCTTCAAACCTCATGTTCCTCCCCCCGCCTAGAATAAGTTTGGGTATTAACCGAAAAATCTGGAAAGAGCCAAATACCATGTGGAAGAAAATGGACAATCATTCAAACCCACACCCAGAAACAGCCACCACAGAAGTTTGCTTCCATGGACATTTGCATTCCATGGACATGAATATGTATTCAGCTGCAAATTATAAATACCGCTACTTTTTTAGACCAAAAACTGTTATGTAGAAAAGCGTATTTTTAAAATTTTGATTCATGAGTTCTCAGTAGGCATTAGACAGAAAATAAAAGGGATCTGTGGTTTGAAAAGTGCTGGGAGGGACACCTGGGTGGCTCAGTTAAGCATCTGACTCTTGCTTTCGGTTCAGGTCGTGAGCTCATGGTTCAGGAGTTTGAGCCCCAGGTTGGGCACAGAGCCTTTGGAATTCTCTCTCCCCCTCTGTCTCTGCTCCTCCCCTGCTCACTCTGTCTCTCTCTCAAAATAAATAAACTTTTAAAAAATTTTTTCTAATGCCAAGTTTTGAAATTGGAGGACTGATGATTTGGTGTGAATGGGCACCGGGTGGGGTGCTGCTCCACCCAGGCGCATTCTGGGGACCGCTTCCAACTTGTACGGGGTGCATCTCCCTCTGAGCTGAAAGGTGGCCATGTTAGGAGTGGTATTAAAATCTGTGTTTACATCTCCCTTATTCAGGCTCTGGCATCCTGCTGTTTATTTTCCATGCAAACTTTTTGGGTAAAGAAGTAATTGCTCGGCTCTGTGGACCGTGTAGTGTGCAAGCTGTAGTGTTAAATGATAAATTTCAGCTTCCGGTTTTTCTGGTAAGATTTTCTGTAGTTCGTTACTGAAAAGCACATTCTTCTGATCCAGAAGCACAGATGACGTTTAAATTGCTGTTTTAATAAAGTACGTTAATTTTAATTTAGTAAACCACTTGGAAATGAGGCAATAACCCATAATCATAAAGTAAAATTGTCCCACATTTTGTCAATGTAAGTCTGGATTTCTAAATGTTTGATATATATGCCTTAAGTTACATTTATCACATCTTAGAAATTCTTAAGGTAGAAGAAACATACTGATTTTAAAATACTCTGCCTTTTCCCACCGTTATAATTACAAACATTCACTTAAAGAAAAATTTGGAAATCTTAAAAGTATTCTGTTCTTCAAATACCCAGAAACACAACCACTAGTATAACATGGGTGTACTTAGGCTGAGCTTTAGGCAACCATTGTACTGTAATTTTGCTTTATAATAACAAATGTATTAGTGGCTATATACATTTTTTAACATAAAAAAATGGTCTTGAAGAATCTTTGTGTATGTTTCCTTTTCCACAGGTAGAATTCTTTCCTTAGGCTGAATTCAGCAAAATTAACTGGTTATGAAGATTTTTTAACACTCAGGCTCTATATGGCTGGATACATGCTAATCCTAAAGATTTATCTGAGTATTGTTTTTTTGCAGATAAATCTTAAGCTTTTTTTGTCATTTGTATCTTTTTAATAAATCAAGGGGAAAGTAGTCACAGGAAATTGCTTTATATAAATTAAAATACAAAACTGGTATTCTCTTCTATCACTGGGAGTCTGAAAGGTTTTTGTTCTCTTAAGCTACAGTGATACTCTTAGACGTAGAAGTTTGAGGAAACACTGACTGTGGTCTCTCTCTCTAGGATAGCCATTTTGTTTACTCGTTCAGCCCTGCTACAGGCCTCAATAAACTCTTCATAAGGTTGACGGAAGCGCCTTCTGCCAAGGTGACAATCCTTTCCTCACATTTAGTGCAACTACTCACATTGCTATTCCAGCAGCAAGCCCAATGTGGGGCTCAGTCTCACGAACCGTGAGATCATGACCTGAGCCGAAGTAGGTGCTCAACCAACAAAGCTACCCAGGTGTCCCTAAGCATCCAATGGTCGTGAGTTCACAAGCCCCACATTGGGCTCCACGCTGGATGTGAAGCCTACTTAAAGGGAAAAAAAAAAAAAAAAAAGAACATACAATGTGTTAGACATAATTGTGTGTCATAAATTGTGTGGAAAGATGAGAAGAATGCATCTCTCCAGTACGGAGCAGCCGGAGTTGTATTCTAGGCTGTTATTTAATGGCCATATGTATGTCTCATAGGCTGCTCACTAAACATTTCTTTGTAAAATGAAGATGAACCAAAAAAGTCTATGTAATAAGTGGTAGTTATTTACTATAATAACTTTAAGCACTTGGATTTATTAAAAGTGATAACCTAACACTTGAATTGATAATCAATTTGAGAACATTGCCAAATAAGAACTCTCGGCCGCGCGCGCGTGTGTGTGTGTGTGTTTTCCCTCCTCTAAGAAAGGGGGGCTCGGCAGAGGTGTTGGTGCTGCTACGTTGCCTCTTTTCTTTCAACAGGTGAAGTTGCTGATAGGCGCATACAGGGTGCAGCTGCAGTGACGGAACAGAGTCGGGACGGAGTCCTTTCCAGACCTGTTTTAGGACCCTGGCACAGCTAACACCTCCAGATTTGAAGTTTCATCTGTAAACCTCTTGCAGTTTCGGGCTGGGTATCTGTTACGGGCTGTAAGATGGGACGTGGGGGTTCTAATATATTCTGAAATAGAGAATGTGTTTGTGCCAGTGTTCTCAAATCTCGATGTTGTCTCCAGACTGCATACTTCGGTTTTTCCACAATGTGGAATGGTATATAGAATTATTTAAGAAAATTAAAAGTCTCTTTTCTAACTTGAAATTTTCTACTAGCCCTGGTGAATTTCTGCATTAAAAACAAGTGTGTGTATGCCAAGCACTAAGTAAGGGGCGAATTTGCTGGCCTCGAAGGATGACTTCTCTGACTTGGTAGGCAGGTTCAAGGGAGGCGGTGTGATGTCTAACCTGCAGTTGCCACAGGTCCTGAATTGGAGGTGACAACTTTTTGTATTTGCAGTTACCCTTTATTCCGGGAAAAGATAAAAGAAGATACGACTCACGAACTTTTATCCTTGTTCTTAGAATCCATCAAGTAATTTTTAAAAAGCAGATCTTGTGCCCTCGTTACGAACGCTGGGAAGGCAGCCGAGGTTTGTCCGCCACACTGGGCCTCATGTGAAGAGCTATCGTCTCTACAGATTCCCCAGAGGTCTTAAATTCTCTTAAGAAATATTTGGCAAACTAGTAAGTCAAACTCCATCTGGACTACAGAGATGTATAAAATTATTTAGCTCCTGATTGGTTTTATAATTGTTTGAATTACAATTTTAATGAAAATTTCAGAAGGTCACATATTTGACCACATCGTACAGATATTTGAGAGAGCCGTTTTTACTTTACAGTACTAAAACGGCCTTTTCCTACAGTTTTCTCAATAAAATACCACAATGTTGGTCTATTTTCTTTGTATCTCAAGTCTCAAGACTTCAAGGTGGATACTAATGTGTAATATTTTTAACTAAATGACAGCTGGGATTGGAATTTTTTCAGCTATATTGAATCATGCACTAGTACTGTATCTAGTACTTTCTAGAAAAATCACAAGACCGAGCAGCAGTGGATAGGTCAGGAACAGCAAGGGAGACAGTACCTTAATCTAATACACACTAAGAGATATGGGTTTTTAAAGAAAATTTGTTCTGTCAAAATCATGCTGAAGATCTCCATCATCATCTTTATAAGCACACATTATTACAAGGTGATGTACTGTTGATCCAAGAGGTAAGGCCAGGCTAGAAACCAAGTAGAACGACGAGTAGTTCCTTCAGTAGGAGTTTAGGCTCAGAAGGATGAAAGCTGTTAGAAGTCAGCAAGGAGAAAAAAAAAAAAATCTTTAACAGATGAAACTTAATTATAGGAAAAGTGGCAAGTTCTTTTGACAGAAGCGGGGTCAGGGAAGGAAGACAAAGTTTGAGCTTACTTGGGAGTAACACCACCTTTGAGTTGTCCATCTCAGCTTTGTGCCAGATGTGCTAGTAAATTCTGTAAACAGTTGTGTCTACCAGGAATGGAAGGTACAGCCACACAACTTAATACATTTTGCTCTAAATTACACCTTTGTTGTTGTTCTTTTGAGAGAGAGGGAGGGGCAGAGAGATGGAGGGACACTCCCAAGCAGGCTCTGCGCTGACAGACACGGGGCTCAGACTCACGAACGGGGAGATCATGACCTGAGCCGAGATCAAGAGCAGATGCTTCACTGACTGAGTCCCCCTGGCGCCTCAGCTATAGCTTCTCTGGAGCCAAATGAAAAGCACACTTGTCCACTTTGGTTTCTTAAGGGTGAAGGAGACTTGAATTGTCTTGAGACTCGCACTTGGGAGAGTGGTTTCTTGCTGGTTCTGTGATGAGGCAGCTAATAATTCCATCAGATGTTAATAATGCTGCTACTTTGATTATTCAAATAAAGTATGTACAAAGTGTGAGCCTTGGCTTCTCTGGAAAACAAAGCAATTCTCAAGCGGCAGCTTAACCAAAAGGTTTACAGACCTGCTTAGGTACTGCAGGTCAAAACCAAAGCAATCTTCTTAGTTTATACAACACAGAATATATAACTAAACTTTATCATCTGGGCCGTGGGTGATATCACTAAGTACATCATCACTGAAAAGCACACAGTCCACATTTTTACTTCAATTTTATCTTAGAAAAAAATCATCTTCAGTCTTTTTTCTGGTGCATATGGCAGTGAGGACATCCTAATTGGATGACTCAGTGAACTTCTATATCATTCGTATCTGGCCCACTCTAATAAGCATGGCTGTAGCGGAAAACACATTATACGGGCTTTTCTCCGCAATGGTTAGTACCAAAGAGAAACCTCTAATACCTAACACTATGCAAATGTTGGACCACAGTTAGTTTGCTTTCACTCTGAGAATAGGTCATTTAGGATCACTGATTAGCAAAGACCAAGGAAAAGGAGGATACATACGCCAGAATTGTCAAAAAGTGACTTGTGAAATAATTCTGAAAATGTTAACATTTCATACAGTTCATGTTTCATAGCCTAAATACTATATAAACTCCTAAAACTGTTGTAAACTTTTTAAACTTAATTGGCTAAGTAAACGCAGAGAACCACTCACAGGATCCATACGGCTTTCCTCTTCTCTGTGCAGACTTGCAGATAAATCTCCTTTCAGACCAAACTGGGATTTCTAGGCCTCACATCTACTTCCAAGTAAAGAAAAGTGTTACTAGTAAGCTAAATCTAATTACAGTGAGGAGGCACAAATAAGGACCAAATTAAAATCCAGAAATAGTCCTCTGCCGACATCCAGAGCCCCCAAGAACCCCAGCTGGAATCTAACCCTAATACTGCGTATCAGTTTAACTTGGAAGAAATTAATTTTTCATTATTCTACAACACACTATTTCCCTCATACTCTTTGCTTTCTTTGGGCTTAAATATATATACATGGCTTTAGTAAAACATGATTTTTCTCACAACAGTGCCAGATTTCATGAGTAGCCCCTTATCTTGGGGACTGACCCCAAATTGCAGGCTAGAGGGGATGCCAAAAAAAATCCCTCTAACAGTTCCCATTTATAGCGAATTGAAAGGAGAGTTTGTCTGTCATTCTGTATTTGTAGGCTACTACCACACTACTTTGCAACGTCAGCCAGCAAGAACTCTTATAACACCTGAATGAAAGTGGAAGTTTGCACCATTCCAGATATTTTAACCACGGAAAATTTGTCCATGAGGCATAATGTCAAGTGTTAACGATTATTCATAAGTTGTTTATATGGAGTAATAAATTCACAAATGAAATCTCTGTTTTCTGGCTGTTTCTCCTCTGACTTTAAAAGCATTTCTCCCATAAGATGACCTGGAAAAAAAGACAAATTCTTTATTAGCAAACAGGAATTAATATCTGTAGTGTATTTTCTGTTATAAAAAACAAAGAAAATGTAGTCCCCATGGCAGAGCAACACCAGCTGTTAGAAATGAAAATTCTCAGGCCTTCTAAATCACAAACAGTGGGGTCTGTATTCTAATAAGCCTCCAGAGGGTTCTGCTATACCTTGAAAACATGAGAACCACTGTTTCAATCAAAGGATAACCTGAAGATAATCCAATTTTTAATAAAATTCCTGCATTTTGTTAACTTCCAAAACTTTAATAAAAGTTAATTATCTTCCTGAAATGAATCACTGTTTTTGCTGACTATAAAATCTGTAATAAAAAGCAGTTACTTCAAATAAAAACACTATTCATCTCTTACCAAAATTAACTTCAAAATCCTCAAGTTCCAATGACAAATTCACTTGCCAAGCCTGTAAGATCTCTCTCCGCTGGCCACATAATGCCACAGCTTTGATCTGTGCCACAGTCAGCCTATGTATCTTAAATTTTTTCCCCTTACCCGTACATTCTGAGGTTATTTCTTCAAATTTTAAGTAAAGGATTCACAAAGAAGTCTGAAAATTTAATACCAACAAAAGGTCTAAAGGATATTTACAAAGTAATTCTCTAATTTCAAAAGGGATTCTAATTTTGTAAATAGTAGAAACCACAATTTACCTGGATGGCTTTTATCATTCCCTCCCCACCCCCTGGATTCTCTACACTCAATGGGAGGCTGGAACTCACAACTCCAGAGATCAAGAGTCGCACGCTCTACTGACTGAGCAAGCCAGGCACCCCTACCTACAGAGCTCTTAAAAATAAAGAATCTTGCTTTGCTGGATCCCAACCCTCAAGTTTACATTCAGTAGGTGGACCTGAGAATGTGCATTCTTGATCCCGGAGGAGAACGACACTGGTCTAAAGGGCCAGCTTTGAGAATTACTAACCAAAGTTAATTTCCTAGAGCTGGATAAAAGAACACAAACCAGAGCTCTCACATTTTTGTATTCATGGGCATCAGATACTTTAAAAGGGGGAAGTTTCTCCAGGTTTCCTTATATGCCAGAGCCTCTGACACAATGTGTGCTCAGATCTCCTGAGATCTCGTTTCAGTGGGTAGTCTGGTTGATGTGGTCAGCTGTGCGTTGAGATTCTGCACTGCCAAGAGAAACCCTTAAGGCTGGTGCTGCTGGTCCCCAGGACAACCCTTGTAGCAAAAACAGAAGAGCTCCTTTATCGCCACCAGATAAAGTGGTTGGAAAAGAACCTTAAAACAATACTTTCTGGAGCTATTAGGATGACATTTTACCATCAACGGAATTCTGTCATAGTAAGTCACGATGTAGGGGTGCCTAGGTGGCTCAGTCAGTTGAACGTCCAACTCTTGATCTCAGCTCGGGTCACGACCTCGCAGTCTGTGGGATACAGCCCTGCATCAGGCTCTGCGTGGATAGCATGGGCCCTGCTTGGGATTCTCTCTCAAGTAAATAAATAAAAAAATAATGCTTTTTTAAGTCACAACGTAAATGTTGCTATAAAATAGAAAATTTGCTGCCTTTTAAAAGGGTAGAAAGAGCAGCAAGGGAGAAATGGAGCTGGTATCCCTAGTACT